CCTATCAGGGGTTTGCCAGCGGGGACATAAACCGAGACTCATGGGCTGTCCGTCACTTCATTGAGCAAGGCATTAACATTGTTCTCCCCCAGTCCCACCCCAAGAACATGGGTCTCTACGGTAAGCCTTCTCTCTTCCCCCCCCCCCCCCCCCCCCACGGACCCCTCAGCACTTCCTCTTTCAGAGTGAAAGGAAAAGCTCGAAAGGGGAGTTTCTGGGGTGCCCCCAGGAGAAATGGGGTGCCATGACTTTAGAACATCTGTGGGGGAAGGGGGGTTCTCTTGGGTTTCTGCCAGAAACCATGGCTAGCGAGAGCCTGCTTGCTGCCCAGAGGGTGTAGGGGCTTTGTGCTGGGCAGTTCGTGCCATCTGTGGCCCAATTTGGGGTACAGCAGAACCCATGCAGCCAGTCAGGAGCCTCCATTGGGGTCTCCTCCACCTGCTAAATTGGGTCTGTTCCCAGGAGCACATAATCAATCCTTCCAACACTAACTAAACTGGCTGGGTTTCTACAGCTGCCCCCACCCAAAATGGAGCTAAACAAAGTTCCCTCCTCTCCCTTGGGGCTGTGGGAAAAGATGGCCAAGACTTCTACCTGGCAGGGCCTGCTTCTGCCTTGGCTGCAGTGCCGGAGCCTCCTCTAGGCCAGTCATGCAGGGGAGGTGTGCCTGTGAGCCCAGACCTTCAACCGGAGCCCTCCCAGCTGCCCTGTCCCCCTGTCTCCTCCTTGCAAGGGGTGGACCCTCCATCTTGAAGGAAGGAATCCGAGGATGACGGGACATCTTCAGGAGAGGACTATACCAGAGATTTGTCCTGTCAACAGGGCCAGGGGGCAAGGGGGGGGCTGGGTGGTGTTGCTGGAATAGGGAGGAGGGGTCCACAATTAACTTGGCTTCTGCCTCCAGGGGAGCGTGTGGGCGCCTTCACAGTCATTTGCAAGGACTCCGAGGAAGCCAAGAGAGTGGAGTCCCAGCTCAAGATCCTGATCCGCCCCATGTATTCCAACCCCCCCGTCAATGGGGCTCGGATAGCTTCCATGATCCTAAACAGCCCTGATCTGCGGAAGGAATGGTGAGGGTCCCGAGAGGCCAGGCAGAGCCAGATTCTCTTCTGTGCTTTGCAGCCGGAGGCCTTTGGGCAGGGGGGCCTCGGGGCAGAGCCTGGCATTGAGGGCCAAATATTCTGTCCTTCACGGAAATGCTTCCCCTTCAAAGCGGCCTTTGGAGGTGGGAAGAGCCTCTTTCCAAGTTGGCTTGCTTCTCTCTCTGGGCTCTGAGATGGGGGTCATGGAGAGCAGGACGGGGTGGGGGTGGACCCGCTCTCCCTGCTGCTGACCACCCTTTCTGACTTCTCTGGGCAGGCTGGCGGAGGTGAAAGGAATGGCCGACCGCATTATCGGCATGCGGACCCAACTGGTGGCCAATCTGAAGAAGGAAGGCTCTTCTCATAACTGGCAGCACATCACTGATCAGATCGGCATGTTCTGCTTCACAGGCCTCAAGCCGGAACAGGTAAGAAGGGGGCTGGCCCTGCCTCCACCCTAGTTGGGCTCTGTTGACCTCTTGCCCCCTTTATTTAGCAGCCAGACCCTGGGGGGCTTCTGAGAAGTTTGCCTCCTCTGCCTTAAGGAGGACCCTTATTTTCATCTCTACTGAGCCTCAGATACTTTGATGAAGGGGCTACAATGGGGACCTTAGGTTTGTAAATTAAGAGTCTGCCCAATTCTTTCTTTCTTTCTTTCTTTCTTTCTTTCTTTCTTTCTTTCTTTCTTTCTTTCTTTCTTTCTTCCATTTTCTCTTTCTTATTCATTCATATCTTGCCTTTATTACTTTCACATATGTATAATTCAAAGTAGCAAACATTTCCAACACACCCTATTTTCTTCACAACAGCCCTTTGAGGTGGGTTGGGCTGAGAAAGAGTGACTAACACAAAGTCAGTAAACTTCCATTCCTCTAAGGCTGGACTAAAATTCACCGTCTCCTGGTGATAGGCCCAACATCACCCAGCCGGCTTTCATAGCTAAAGTGGGACTAGAATTCACAGCCTCCAGATTTTTGGGTCAGTACCTTGAGCACTACAGCAAACTGGCTCTCTACTACTCTATTCTTTTCTTTTCTTTTAAAACATGAAACAAAAAGGTATACTATCCTCTCTGGT